ATAGCTGAGATTTAGTGCAAGGTGTCATCAAGGGACGGTAAGTGTTTTAAACCAAAAATTTGATTATTACTATGTGATATGACCAAGAATTTAATAGATGAGTATTTAAAGCCCAAAACTAACTTGAAATGTTCGCAACAAGACATATTGGCATAAAGAGCATTTAACATTTAATATGTTCTCAAATCTAGATTGTTTTTTATTTTACAGGAGTCATCATTGAACCATTTTATATTTAAAAATTGATTTTTCCTAGTTAGATTTCCGGAGTATTTCCGATTTTTCCGAGCATTATAAGAATATCGAATAAATTTTTTTATTTTTTGACGATTTAAAAAATTACCTTCATCATTTTTATATATACATCCACATAAAAAACCATTTGACTCAATCTCACCTGAACACCATACTTGTTTGATGTTATTATCAACAAAACAAATTTTTAAGGTTTTATTTTATTTACTACATATATACAACTCCTCCACCTCTACTACACAGGTGGAAAATTTTTTCACATGTCATAGCTTTGTTGCGAGCTACTACGTAACTACAAATCTGTTGCTAGCCGATGGTTACATTTCGTAGCTTTGTAGATATCAACATGAATGTTTTATATAAAATTACCAAAATAATGCAAGTTAAAAAAAGATATACCACAAGGAAAAAACAATAAAGTTTTGGTAGTATAAATACAAATCTGGCGGTATACAAAACCATCTACGGCTACAGCAAGTATATATGACAATAATAGGTTTTTAACAACGTTAAGAAGCGTTTGTTTTAAAAAAAAAAAATTGGGTTGGAAATAAATACTTGAGAAATTTTTTTTTCTTATTTCAAATTTAATTAGATTGAATTTCAAATCTTTAACATACATGGCTAAAAAAATATTTACATTAAATGATTGATTTAATTTTATTAGAAAAGTAATACATACTCTAAACGACGCGCAGGCCCTAAAAAAAAATAGGACTCTGGCAACGCGTTCGAAAATAATACTAGAAAGGTTATAAAAATAAGAAACAAAGTACCACTGTTACAAAAACGAAAAATGTTACAGGAGATGCAGTAACAAGAAACGTATTTTTCCAAACTGATGGAGTTAATTTTATTTCAAAGGTCTTGATATTATTGACATTTACGACATCAGACGGCAAATTAGTTACGGCATCAGACGGCAAGTTATTTTAAATATTAACTATTCAGAGAGAGAAAGAATATTTACAAACATCAAGTTGACACTTTAATTTGCGTAATTTGAGTTTATGACCTCGAGTATAAATATCATTGTTAACTAAAAACAAGTTCCATACAAAAAGACAAACAGAATTGTTTAGAATTTTGTAACATGAAATCAAATCTTGCTTTAGACGACAAACGTTTAGTGGTTCTAAATCGAGTATAGCTCTGTTAAAATATGAAAATTTATTTAAGTCGGTTAATTTCTTAGTAAAACGTCTAAAGACCCAAAAGACCTTTGTGGGACTGTAGTCCATAATCCTATCAAGATTTTTGGGTTTTTAGACCAAGTTAAACTGCGAACTACTGATTTATAATTGAAATTTATATACTTACAAAATGAAGCAGGTAGTATGCTAATTATTAAACACTTTCTGCTGATAACTTTTGAATGCTATTTATCTGACCAGAAAAAAACTTTGTTAATGGTAACAGCTAGGTCGTGGCTATGATCCGTAACCAAAATGAGCTATATAGTTTGATATTAGTAGCATGAGAGAACAAATAAGATTTTTGATTACAGATGGTAAATTGTTAACATATAGTAAGAACAATATTGGACCTAAAACGCTACCCTTTGGAGCTCCACTAATAAAGCTAGATGGTTTTGACAAAAACTTGTTGATATCTGTTTGGAAGAAGATCCATTTTAGGAGGTTATTTATAATACCATACATCAAAGGTTTTCTCATTCGTCTTGTATGAGGTACAGAACCAAATTATTTTTGGAAATCAATGTACCCCTCGTTAGTAAATAAATAGTTATCTAAAGCGCTCGTTCAAACCATTTGTTGACTCAAGGAGACTCATGCAGGTAGAACCTTTGGATAAAAAAAAGTGTTGATTAGATGTAGTTAGGTTATTAATATTTAGATAGTCAGCAATTTTTAAACTAATTTTTTTTAAAGATGGGGAAACCAAAACTTGAAGCCACTGTATAGATAGAGTGAAGTGAAACTTTGGAAAAATTGAAATTTGAGCGAAAGCGGAAAGCATTTTATGTTTGCTGATTTCTTTAAAGTACATTTGGTAAACCATCAGGACCGAATGATGTGTTAGGTTTACGCATTTACGGGTTTAAGAGCTTCTCTCCATTTCAACTAGGGGTCTGGGGAGCATTGCAAGATCCCAAAGCAAGGTCTATGGGTTTTGGAAGCTTAAAACATACTTCAATATATACCTTAAGTATACCTTACAATATGCTTAAGCTTATCACTTACTCTATGGTATTGTTTACCAGGTGAACTTGTATGGTCAATACAAAATCAAAATTTAAAATTAATTTAAAATCAATTTATAATCAATTTAAAATCAAAAAACAACCAAAATGGACCAAAATTCACCGCAAGGTAATTTTGTTACAAATTGCTAAAAAGATTGTTAAAATGTGTAGAAAGCAATGGTCAATACTTTGAACAAACAATTTTTAATTTTTCATTCAAAGCTAGTTTTTTTTTCAATTTTACATAAAACACCCAAACTTCATACCGGCACATCTGGTAGTTCGGATATTTTTGAAATCATATTAAACTGATCAAACACACTTACAATTTTATTTTAAGGTTCAATACAGCAATTTTCTTGAAGTATGGAGACTTTTGATTGACAAAGACAAAAATTTAAAGCTTAGTTTTAAAGCTTCATTTGTAGGTAATGGTGTCCTCAACTATTTTTATAAACTGACAAAATTACTTCGACAAAAGTCATTACATATCTATTCAAAATTTATTACAAAACCTTTTCTGTTTTCAATTCTTAAAAACATATCATGCTTTATAAAAAAGACCTTTATGATGCTGGCAATTGTTTGATCCAGCAACAACCCAAAGGTTTTTTCCTCTACAAATATCTTATCCTATAGAACAAAACCATTTTCTTGGTTGGCTGAGTTCACATTGACGGTAGACTCTCTTACTTGCTTTCAAAATCTTCATTTCTGTACCATTTTTTACCGCATCATTACTGAACAAATACGTGTCTACATTTGTTATCTCTGTATCTGATATTTTCTGTTCATTTTCTACTCTTGATGCTGATAAATGTTGATTTTGATTCGATGCACATCCTTGATGCTGCTGCTGCGTTATTATATTAGGTTTTAAATATTTTGTTAACTTTTTTTTTTTAAAAAAACCTCGTTTTGATTTCCAAACGAGGTTTTTTTAAAACGAGGAAAATTTCCAAATGTAGGAAAGAAAATGAAGCGCTTTATTGTGCTTCATTTTCTTTCTTGCATTTAATTGAACTTCAATTCTGGACAATAATTGCAATAAAGCTTGGTGGTCAAGATCAGTGAAACTGATTTTGACCACCAAACTTTAATATTTAATACTTAAAATGGTATGATATAAGATTTTGCCCTATTTGGTGTAAAAAAAGGAGTAAAAAAAACAAAAAAATTCCTTCTATATGCAGCTACTTTTACTTTGTCACCCTAAACTTGTGCTTATTTTGCTTCTTGATTATTCCAGGTCTGGTTTTACGTATATATGAGTTTTTAATAAACTTAGCTCTTCAAATCTCACCTGAAAAGTCTTTAACGTCGATGTTAGTACAATGATTAACGAAGTTGTTTGTTTTAAGAAAACAACCCTTATCTGCCGTAAAAACACTTCTAAAGAACATTTTTAATGCCACAGCAATATCAATATTGCTAGTAGTTAAGTTGTTGTTGGTTTATAGAGGATATAAATATATTTTTATGGATTATGAATGAATATTTTTATTTGCGTAACTAAAAAACTTATTAGTTTAATTGTCTTGAACAAGTTTGAGTTCCACATTCTTGTGATGTGTAACGGGTTTTTTACATATAGGTGCATATCTAAAATATGCTTTTTAATGCAAATTGGTGTTAGTGTTGGTCCATATTTTCCACAAAAATGCTTTTCGAACTTACATTTTATAAATATACTTTGGATAAAAGTGACTTTTTTTGTTATGATATACTGTTCTGATTAGAATAAAACAATCAATACCAACACAAAAATGATCTGAAAATATGTTTCAATACTCTTCAGCTATAAAAACAAAAGAAAACACGTAGTCCTAACTTATGCTTGATAAGTAAGAAATAAGTAAAAAAATATATAAGTTTTTTTAAAATCGTAAAAAGATGTAGACTAATTATAAATTAAAGTTAATATAAACGAGGACTAAGTTATGGTCACCTGTACTAAATTGAGACTCAACCGTATTATTACCTAATAAGGAAATGATATTAGAAGAAATCATATCTTAAATGATGTTTTAACGGGTAGGTTCCGATACATATTGCTGCATTTTAAGAAGCTTAACTGAAGTAATGTTTGATGCCAATCAATTTTTGGAATATTGAAATTATTTTTGATAGATGGATTGAAATTGAAAAATCATTTATCTAAAGACCAGTTTCACAAATCATTTAATAACTCGGAGTTCCAGTACTGAAGGTCAAAGTAAGCTGTGGGGTTAAAAATTAAACGTTATAAACAAATTAATAAATTGTAATTAAAAAAAAAAATTGTTTTTGATAAACATGTTGCGTTAGATTTAGTTTTAATCCCTCCTAATTTGTGTGGGAATCGATTGAACGTTTATAACTTTTTTGCCAACATTCTTTTTCATTCTATGTTTGATAGCCACATTTACGTATTTATAAAACCATTAATTGTTTTTATATATAAAAAAAACAAACGGTTTTATGATATTTAGGAGCGCGGGGTTCTTGTAAACGGAAAATGCTTACAGTTTATTGTATATTATCTGATGCAGCCGGGCATTATAATTTTTACTTTCGACCAATTCAATTAAATGCACGTTTATGATACAATTTTTGTTTAGAATAATGCATAAAAAAATATGTTATAATGAAAATTTTGAATATAAATGCGTTTTTAATTAACATATTTGTGATTACTTTATTGACAATAGTTCTTGATTGGTTGTGGGCTATTGTAATAGTTATTACAATTATTTTGTTTAATTATAATTCCAAAACCGACACAGAATATTGCATTAACAAAAAAGTTGAAAATTTAACCCTTGAAAATTTAAAATATTCAGATCTTCAATCGAAAAGTTCTGTGTCCTGTGTTCAATCAGAGTTGCATATGAAAATGAACTCGAACGCAAATTTGGTTCAAAGAGATAAACTGGTTAATGGGTCAGGTTAGTATCTATTTATTTCATTATGTTAAGTAAATATAAGTGATGAGATCTTATTTATTTTTAAAGTTCTTGCTATAAAGAGGCAAGAATATCTATTATCTTGGTTTTAATTTTAGTTTTATAATCATAAATAATATTTAAAATTATTAATTTTGATTATTGTTGATAGTAAAACAGTAGTAATGCAGTGAAATAACATCATTCCAAACAGCCTTTTATGAATGATTCTCTACAATAAGGTTCTTATATATTACCTCTATCAATATTAGTAGTCTTTCTTCACCTTGTTTTTTTTTTTGAAATGATTAGCTTTAGGCATTTCTATAGAAAAGATATCAGCTGCTTTTTTTCTATTTACCTCGTCTAGAGAAATCATATTTAAGTCTGAGTACCAAATGTGCTTGTATATTGAATCAATTACGGCATTAACTAAACAAGGTAAATATTGTTATTCAATGCAAAAAATGCCTTAGAAATAAGCTGTTTAATAAATATTTATTTATCAACTACATATGTTTAGGAATTTAGCATAATAATTTTAAAAATGATCTTCTATTTGTTTATATTTAAGTAATGAAAATATCATAAAATCCACATAAACATAGGTTGGTGGAGGTATAATTGAATTAAATGTAGCAAAAAAATAGAATTTTCTGCCAAATGTTCGAAGACTTGTTATATATTTGCAGTCCATCAAGTTCAAGCTCAATCATAAAATAAAAAAATTATCTTAATTTTTACTAGTGCATTTTTTGACTTTTTGAATGAGTGAACTAAACGTTGAATAGTTAAAATTCAAAGTTAGTCGACCTTAAAAAATCAAATTGTTAATTTAATTAACTATAGAAATCCTACTAAAAGTAGAACTATTGACTAAAAGTTGATTTAGTTATCTAGTAAACTTAACATCCTTATATCTTTTCATTTAATATTACTTTTCAATCCCTAATTTTTATTTGTTTATATCAATAACAAGTGCTGTTATAACTATTATATACTAACTTATTTTTTATTTACTCTTTTAAAATTTTATCTAATTTATAGCAATATTTATACCCAATTGAGCTTTCGGGTATGTGTTTCATTAATTTTTCATAAATACTTTTATACATGGTTGTTCATAGCTGACCCTAGTAAAAAATTTAATTGTTAAGCTCCAAAATCTAAATGTTATCTATACAACCACAATGTAAATATGATTGTACAAAGCTCACATTAAGCGATCCTGAAATATGATGGAAATACTTCTAGTTCAGAAATTTTTAGTTTTTTAAGAACTGTAAACTGTTTTATTACAAAACTCAATAGTTGTTATTTAATATAAAATATTTATAATGATCTTAAAATAATTATATAAAATCTTATTATAAAACCATATTATTACTATTATTGTTATTATTATTATTATTATTATTATTGCTATTATTATTATTGCTATTATTATTATTAAAAACTATGATTTAAAATTTTTAATATTTTATTATAAATCAAATATTATCATTGATAGAATTCTTATAACTCTCAAATCCAGATATTTATATAAAATTAAAAACAGAGAAGTTTAAAATATATAAAAACTAATTTGAACTACTTATAGTTATTTTAAAAAAAAAAAAAAAAAAGACTATTAACTTATTTAAAAATATATGTTATTTAAAAATTACTTATTTAAAAATATATTATTTAAAAATATATATTTATTATCCATTAATGTCTAAAACATTTTAACTTAAGTTTTTAATTTAAAACATTAATTTTTGCAGTTTTTAAATAATAATTATTCACACACTGCAGTGGAGCATACTTCAAGACCATGGTAGACATCCTAAACAATTTTTTTTTTGAACAGGGATCATTTCCCGATTCCAAAAATGTATTAAACAAAATCATTCATTGGGGGCTTTTTGAGAAATTAGGTATTTTAGATTTTTGAGAGGTTGCGTGATAAAAAAAATCACATGAAATCTGATTTTGACATTTTTTGTGTCAAAATGACCGTCTTTTAAAATCAAGAAGGTTTGTTTTTCTTCAACAATACTATCTGAGGTCGTATTCACTATCAAATTGTCTTATACACATGAAACATGATGAATCCTTAAAATGAACGATTTCTTTTCATTTCCAAAAAAATGTATAAGCTATTTTATATCTAAAACATATTTTTAGAGTCAATTTGATATTTTTGGTTTAGTTAGGAGGTATATTTTTAGAAATGTGTCAATAAATTAAAAATTAAAGGAGTTGCAAAAAATTAAATTTATTACATCAAAAATGTTTAAAGTTATAAGCAACAGTTGCTTTTTTTAGTGCTGTAAAATAATTTGGGCTATGCTGCCCAACTTTTCGACTTTCCCAAAACTGCTTGAAGTCTTGATGAATAGACTCCAAGGCCTGCTCTGTCCAGTAACCTAATCCTAAACATCATATATATCTTGTATAAGGAAATAGGATTGATAAATCAAAAATTAAATGTATTGTATTGTATTTATATTCAATATTATTAAATTTACTAAATAAACAATGAGAAATCTTACCAAACTGTCCTCCCTTCATTTTGATGCACTCCTCAATATGTTGTTCTACTATGTGTACTTTTAAAGGTACTGTGGCTCCCAGGTCACTGTAGCTTGAGGAGAGTTCCTTTATGTCGTCAATATATGTAGGACTAACAGATTTGCCAAAATATCCTTTTAACAACTATTTTGTTGAAGTCTCATAAAACTTTTATATACTTGGCTGATTGAATACACAGGCCTTTCTGTTGGAAAAATACTTCCAAGCTCTTGATTTTTTTCAGGAAAAGGTTGCAAGCATTGCTTTCCAGGCAATGCTGCCCTTGGTAAGATACCCGGTTGAGATTAATAGGTCCTAAAAAAGAACTTATAGATATAAATCCCTCCTCCTTGGTTTCAAATAACTTCTTTTCCATTTCTGAGATTAACTTGTCCACTACACTTAGCAGTATATGTAGACCTGGTATATTAACTATTTCAATTAACTTCTTGGTTGGGTCCCCAGTTAATAGAGGTGGATGTACAACATTACTAAACTCTTTTGCATTTTCTAATTTTGCACCGTCCACCATCCAATCATCATACAGTTTGCAAAGAGAAGACAACGTATAATGTTCAAGTTTCATCATTTTGGGAGATAAGGTTTTACAGAATGGGCAAGGATTTTTAGCTGTTGCTGTCTGTTTGTCAACCATCTGGAGCAAAACTTTCAGATCTTCTGATACAGTGTAGTCCAAAGAATTTATCTTCAATTTATCAAGGATCATTTTTAAATTTACCTAGCTTTCATTCATTAAGGGCAAAATGGCGAGAATGAGAGTTTTTGTGAACACTTGAATACTTAAAATCTCAGCTTGAATATCCTTCCTCATTTCAACTTTTTCCTCTGGAACAGTATGTGTCCTCATGTCTGGTTTTAATGTAATTGACAAAGTCACTTTAATGTACCCTTGTCCCCCCCCCCTCATCTACGCCAAGCTTGATATCAACATTATTAGGGACCTGATTTCTGTGTTGAAGGACCAGGGCCATGAGCTCTTCAACATCATTACAATATACTCCAGGAACCTCTTTCTCAACCATCTAAACATGCAAAATCAAAAATTAGTTACCTAGCCACTTGTGTTATACTAATTAAATGTTAATACTCAACCTGTCTAAAACTTGATGAAAAATACTTATGTTCATGTTCAAAATACTTACATAAAATGTGTTCTCTGCTAGAGATTTGTAAAGAAAAAAGATTTTAATTTATTTTTACCTCTTTTTCCCCAGCATTACTCGTTTCCTTCATAAAAATATAAAGCTTTTCTCCATTAAAAAGGTCTAGAATAGCATTATTATTGCTTGTCAATTTCTTACTGAATCCTGGTTCAACATTTACACTCTCAGACCGAAGAAACAGATTTATCTTTATCATTTTACGATCACTGCAGTGAAGTTTCAGTTGAAGTAGATTAAGTTTTTCTGATGTAAAATATGGTTTTTTTGGCTCAGTTCCAATCCTGACAATCATCTTATTCGAGCCAAAAGTGTTTAGAATTATTTCCTTATCTGAACTAAGATCTTAAAAGAACTCTTTGTTTAGTCACAGGGGATGCCGACTGTACAATAGCTGACAAATTCTTTTGTCTCTCTAATTTGGCGCAAGGATGAGACTTTCCTTTTCCAATTTGGGCATAGCATGTATTGCATAAATTTCTCTCTATTTACTGGTTTTCAGGACCTCGAGCTACTTAATTTCCTGTAAAGAATTTTTTCATTGGGACTGTAACTTCAATTTTTCCATTCTTTATTCCATTTTCACAGATGAAACATTCACATTTGCCCCCTCTAACAATTCTAGTGTTCAAATCTAAAAGAAAAAAATATTCTTGGCATGAATATGCAACATATTCATTTATATATCATCTAATTGTTTAATGAAAATTGTACTTTTTGTATTTAACATTAACCTTGTATTTGTAAAATTGTATTTAACATTAATTTTCATAACTTGGTCTGGATTTAAAGGTTGGATCTACGCTCAACAACTTTTTTCTACATTTTGAGCAAATCATAATAGGAAGATCTGGGTTTTAGCTCGCATAATCTTTCCAAAAGTGCATTTTGAGAAGCTGGCAGTAATCATGTTTTCCATTTGATAAATTTGTTTTCACTTTGCAGTTAATAAATCTTAAATCTTTTGACTTCTGAAAACAGCAAATGCAGAACAACTTTACAAACTCATCATGTGTTTTTGTCTCATGAGACATTTTCATAACTAATTAATCTCTCTGAAAATTTCTTACTTGAATAAACTCTTTGTAAAATATAACAATGTCGACTTAAACACAAGTAGTGCTGCACAATTTCACATAAGTTGATACTAATTATGTAAACATTTACTAAAATCAGCTGATTAATTGGTAAACAGCTGTTATTGGTAAACAAAGTATTTAAAATAATGTTTATTAAAAAACCCGGTTATTTTATAAACTTTTATTAGTCAAAAGTATATACATAAAGTACATATATTAAGTACATACATTTAGTATATATATTAATCAAAAGTTAATCAATATAAAATATTTCAAATTTTTCAGCTTGTTCTGAACACAGTGCAGCGGAGCTTACTTCCATGGTTGACTTCCCAAGATCCCAAAAGATTTTTCTTTTTTTTTACATTAATTTTTGTAATATGATAAATTAAAACAGTGTTCACTGTATTTAACAAACTGAGAATTTGATTACCAAAAATATTTCCAGATTTTACAATTCAAGATCACTTAATTTGAACCTTGTTGTATAGACATTTTGATATTCCCCAAGAATTTAAGGGGGTCTCAAAATAATTGGGGTTAAGGAAAAATGTGTCCTGTGTTTAAATGATATGATATTTAAGAATAAAAAGTGAATAAAAATTTCTTTATTATTTTTATTACAATTTTAATGCAAAACATAAACACAAGAGAAATCCATGTATAAATAATAACCTTGGAACACTAATACAAATGAATAAAGATACACCCCAGCACTAGTACAAATAAAAAAAGATCTAAGATACATAAACCTTCCAAACAAATGGAAAGATGCATACAAAATTAGTATCAAAAGAAGCCATATTAGCTTAAAAAATGATGAAAGAAACCTGATAATAAATTCAAAATCAAATCCAAAACCTATATCAATAAAAGCCATTTTGAATACTAATGGTGCTGTAACAAATAACCTGAGCAAGGTTGCAAATATTCTAAACAACTAGTTTAACAGTGGCTTTTAAAATGAAAGCAGCATTATGCCAGAAATAGTAGATAAATTATTAAGTCACACACTTGATCTAAATGACAATTTAATTGACTGCATAAATATTCTGAATTGTCTTGAAAAACTAAATACAGACAAAGTGGTGTGGATAATTTACATCCTATTTTATTAAAGCATTTTGCAAAATCAGTGAATTTATCAGTTCTAAATTATCTGGATTTGTGTATAATGCAAAGATATTTAAGTTCGAAATATAATTTCTATTTCAGTTTCTATTCAGTTGTGGCGTTAATTTAGTTTCTAATTCTATTTTTACTTTTATTCCTATTTCAGTTTTAAATCAGCTCATTTAAAATTGATTTCAGTTCAATTCTTATGATTTCAACAATTCTACTTCTTATTTCAGTTCCTAATTCAGTTAATATTTCACTTCTACCAAGATATTAACTTCTATTTCATAAATGATATTTATTAAATTATCAAAGTTTTATAGGTTTATCAAAGTTTCAAGACAACAATCTTAAAGCAACAATATTAAATTTCTTAATATAATACAATATAAATAAGCAAACAATAATTTTAAAACAGTGATTTAATAATTCAATTGAATTGAGATAAGACTTTTTTTGAAACTGTAAAATATATGCTTGAATTTTAATCACATATTCTTGATTAGTTTAATAAAAACTCTCTTTTCTAATGATGTTTTTATTTGATTATGACGCCCAACAGTTAAAATTCCACAAAATGAAAAAATCCTGGGGCAGGCAACAAATTTTCAGCCAACATCTTACTGTCATCTTACTATACTTGCCTTTGTTTTGTTTCTAAAAGAGCAAGCTGTTACCTGGCAGGGCATCATTAGACTTTATGTCTGCCAAATATTTTGACAATTGACCTGAATTAGTGACATTGTCTTTAGTGTTTTCGCCGCTTATTCGTTTCAAAAACCGGATAACAGTTCTCATCAATTTGCGGTTAATCGACTATTCGGTTAATTAGTGACGTTTTCTGAATACAGGATCTTCTAAATTTCAACGAACGTAGCGTTTTAAACTAATTTTTTAAAAATTAATGTTAAAGTGTACATTTTCAAGGCAGTTAGTGAATACAGTCCTATATTATATATTTGTAACAAAACATGGAAAAAGATATATATATATTTTTTATATTATAATATAATATACCTTTTTAATTATTTAATTAAAAAAGGTAGGAATAATGTACAAGTATAGTTTAAATGTTTTAATATCAGCGGATATTTTAAAATCATTCTTTCATATAAAAACATTTGATTTGGAAAAATGAGATGTTATGAAGTAAATTTTTCTAGCATGTATTGTTATGCGGACATAGATGGAAACATAGATAAACTTGAATGTTCTCAAAGCAACTTGTTGCGTAAAGATAATATAAAGAATATTTGCTAACACTAAAATACCGCCAAATCTATGAATAAACAAATTCTATTGGTTCAAAAAATACACTGAATAAGCGAATTAGAGTTCCAGAATATTCTGAAGAAATTTTCTTAAAAATGTATTGCTTGAGTTGTAAAAGTAATAAATAAATCTTTGAGATTTCTATTGTAAATTGTTTTAAGAATATATTATCAAACAAAACTGATTAAATTAACATTAAAATTAATAAAATAAATATATTATAATCTTTGATAAATTAACATTTGTCAATAATCGTCATAATTACGATGTTACTTTCTATAAAATTTCGTAACATTTTTAAGTCGGTTTTTATTATTCGTAAATAGATATTTGATATTCGAACAAAATCCGGTTAACCGCAAAACCGGATAACCGGCGAAATCACTAATTGTCTTAGTTATTATGAATTCCTTTATTTAAAAGGATTTTATTCAACAAGAATTTTAAGTGCTTCATGGCAGCAGATTCATATTCAGACCCATTTGACTCGGCAGCTGCTTGTAATTTGGGCTCATCTCAACAAACACTTGTTATATATATATCTTTGCTACATAGAGTAAGGTGCCCATTTCTAGCATAAGAATAAAGACAGCAAGGGTTGGATTCAACAAGCATACAACAGATGGAAATGGATTAAATGTTGCGGAGTCAGGCTGCAGAACTGATTTAAACCTTGGACATAAATCTCCAAGAAGATTCACTGTCAAAGTCTTGTTCGTTGGATATTCTTGCAGATGGCATTCCAAGTTGATTATAGATGGTAGAAACTGTGAAAGGAATTGGGCATCAGTTGTCCCAGACCATCAAAAATGATGTTCTGGGACACCAGGGTTCAGCTGCAAGCTTTTTTAGTTCTACCGGCCTAATTGAGTTGAAATCTCTGAGAAGCTATGCCTCTATGCTTTACACACCTGGTAATTGTAATATCCTTAGCAGAACATTACAGTCTCTGAAAGAAGCTCACAATGTAAACTTGTGTGAAGCTAGATATGGTGAAAACTTAAGAACTCTAGGTAAGTTTCATCATTCAATAATTGCTCCTGTGATTTTTTATTAACAGTTTCAAAAAATGTAATGCCTCCTGTTTTGCTTATTATGTTAGGAGTTAAAACTGTTAAACTATTGTTAAAAGGATGTTTTATTTTTATCTAATAGTGTAGATGAAAGAATAAAAAATGTGTGCTGCTAATAGCTGTGAATATTGTAATACAGCAGAAGTCTTATGCTTATTAAGTAAGCAATTTGTAGACATGGAAAACCTACACGAGTGATGGGTTGCCAGTTAAAAAAAAAAAAAAATGTTTTGAATTAGATTGCATAACTGTGTGATCAAGGAGTTAAGACAGTTGCATCCAGTTAGGAATTACGAGCTGTTTTTTTTTTTTTTTGTTTGACAAATATATGCATCCTCATTTACTAATGGGTTATTCTATATCAAATCACCTAGTTTTTTGAAAGTTCCCCAGAGTACCATTTTAGATTTGCTTTAAACTTTGACCACGCACAGATCTTATGAAAAAATGTGATTTTCCAGAAAATTTCAGCTTGATTGACCAATATGCTCAAAAGTTATGGTTGAATTAAAAATGACCAAAATCCGAAAAATTTGTATATCAGCTTACAACAGTTTTTTTCCGTTTTTGACAAACCATACTTTTTAAATAAAGATGGTAATCACCTTAAATTTGTAAGGTAATAGTTTTTCACCCAAATAATCCATTATTGCAGTTGTTTTGACTGATTTGTTACAGTTTTTGAGTTATTGTACCTTAAAGCTGCTAAATATTGCAACATGAATATCTTTTCAAACTTTAACATGTTACAGTTTAATACTTACTTACAGAAAATGGATTTTTTTGTTATCTTTGTGTACTTAGGGTCACCACTTGTTAGAATAATCAAAGTTATGCATTAAAAATTTAGCACATGCAGCAGTCTATTAAAAAATCACTTTTTTAAAAAATGATTATAAATTACATTGACTTTGCATAGAAAATTATTATAAATTACATTGACTTTGCATAGAAAATAGCGTAAACAGTTGGAATAAATTATGAAACTTTTTAATGTTGAGGTTCTATATATAGACAACCTCCAAAAAAATTTAAAGACCTATACTTTATCTTATGACATGATTGTAACCTTTTGAGAGTGATGATATTTTTAAAAGGAGAACAAAAAGATACCACTTACAAAACTGTTTGACAATAGTGCATATTAATGATACATTCGGTTCGGATAAAATAACAATAAAATGCAACAATAAAAAAAAAATATCGGGGAGGTTTTGTGTTTATCATGTAGAGTAATCTTGGTCAATAGTCAACAAAAAATTTTTTTTTTTTTGAATCACGATTGAACTAATCTTTTTTAAATAATTTTTGTTACTAAATTTTTTTGTTTTATATATTTTTAGAGAAAGCTAGTTTGTCTTCTCTAATACACCGTGGAACAACAAGAAAAATGGGCTCTGTAAAAAATAATAATCAACCTTTGCTCTCTGTTTTAAAAAATAATACTTATTTGAGGTAAGTTTCATTGCTGTTATGATTAATAAAATGTCAACTTAATGTAGTTATATTAAATTTGTTTAGAAAAATTCTGGTGCTTCATTTATATTCTATATTAAAGTTTTTTTTTTTTTCAAATCTTTTGTTTTGTGAACTTTAGAAAGGCAAATAGTTATCATCAATCACCATTGAAAAGTCCACTTTATCAATCTATGTCACCAGCAAAACTTAATTGCATCTATAATTCACCTTTGACACCAAATAATAGTTTTACCTCACCAATAGTAAACAATCAGTTTACAAGTCCCAGTGTTCAAATGCATTATTTAGATAATTTTGCTAACTCGAGGATTAGTGAAAATGTTAATGGTGGTCTTGAGGTTCATGGTGCATATTTTTTAAACAAAAGTTTGTTGCATACAGAAAGTTCTGAAAATATGTATAGTCTAGTCAATAAAAACTTTAGTTTGCCTGCTTCTAAACGCTGTATGGGTAACGAACTTTATCAGTAAGTGTTTTACTTTTGTTTTATTTTTTAAAGAGTTTTCATATTAATGTTACTAGTTTTGCAATTATATTTTGTTATATAAAGTTTAAATAGAGTATTTTTCCTAATGAATTTTATGCTTTTAAAATCACAAATTTATAAAATAAATCCATTTATTTTTAATTCTAATGAAGTTAACTTGTTTGAGAGTTCTTTAGTTTTTATTCAATTTAAGGTCAAAAAAACTTTTTAAAATATGACATTAAAATTTTTTTGTGTATTAAATTTTCATAATTTATGTCTCATGGAAATATAACTGAGATGTTCAAGCCTAATGCAACTTATATATTTTCAATATATGATAACAGCTAATATAGATACTATATAGTTATACAGGCTTGGACAGAAATGATGTGTGATCGAACGCTATTGTTGACTGCAAATTATTTTTTTTTTGTTGACAACTTGATAATAACTGTTTAGATAGTTTGATTTCAAAAATGCGCTGGAAAACAAACGCTAAAATAAACTTAAACAAAGAAAAAATTTTTTTTAAAAAAAAAAAAAAGAAACAATACCCTACAAAAAAATATATATACGCTTTAAAATAAAACTCAAAAAACTCAAACTCAAAAATGTTACGCTTTTAATTGCATTTGAAATAAATTACTTTAAAATTTATCTTTTGAAACATTTTATTAAAGTTATGCGAAATATTTTTACAAATTACTTCTAATGATTATTTAATAAAAGGACAAATTTTATTTAAATTATTGAAAAGTGAAATTAAATTATTGAAGAGAAACAAATATAATATTTTTAAATTGTATAAACATTTAAAAAAAATTTTAAAATAGTAATTTTTAATGATTTTATGCTCTGATTAGTAAGACAAGTTTTAAAATAAAAACAAGTTTAAAAAAATTGTTTTTAAAAATAGAAAAAAAATAAAATAAAAATAAAGCAATTAAATCATTCCATTGCAATGAAATGATTTAATTGCAATGGAAGGTTTCATTTAACTTATAATTTAAAGTATAATTTATTTTAAACAACATTATAAGAAGTTTTTTATTTTATTTAAACTCTGGCACAACATCATCTCAGTCATTTGGAAAAAAAAACACAAGGCACTTCATAATTAAGCAAAGGCAGAGCGAACAAAAAAATTTAAACTTTTAAATCAGATGTCGGAAAGCAATTACTTAAAAAAATAAAAGCAAAGCGTTATGTCAGATTTTCTTAGGAAACCTATCAAGATTGAACACAGAAAAGTATTTGACCAAGCTGTATTGGAATTTATTGTTACAGGTGGACGTTCTTTTGAGACTTCAGCTAGTAAGGTTTTGATAAAATTGTGTTCAACACTTTCTAATAAAAATTATACCCCCCCCCCCCCATCTATCTATGCTTTCATGTAAGATGAAATGGTTTTTATCTTACATAATGGATGGTTTCAATGGTTTATTATATAACTCTAGCAGAATGGAAGCTAAAATTACGTTGCTTATCTGTGGTAATTATAAAAGTAATCTCAAAAAAAAAAGAGGTTGTTAATTAACTGCAAAGTTCAATCATTGAAATAGATAATTTTCTATGTGTAAAAAATGCATACATGCCTACAAGAAAAATTTGAAATTATTACAAATTATTATTTATTATGTGCACCAAGAATGTTTATTAAACAAAAAATCAGAATTGATTTTTAAATGCAAAAATGAAAATAAGTTTCTCCTAAAAAACTTTAAAAATAAGTCAAAAACCAAAAAACTCAAAAAATAAATATATTATGCCCTTTAAAAATATATTTAAGAAAAAAGCGGAAGTAAACAGTTCTAAAAAATTCTTATCATAATTGTGTAAGCATTCCACAAACGTGTGAAAATTTACAGTAAATATTTATGACTACCTGTA